GAGATTGCCCGAGATGTCTACTACCTAACACCATGCCATATCTTGGTGATTTCAGGCATAGACATTTCAGGATAGAGCACAACTAATAGAAATAATAGAAGAGCAATTATTTTACAACGTGGATCTAATCGTTTTACAAACTGGTTGACATCAGATCTGGTGTCCTGATGTTGCCTGATATCTCACATTATCAGCACACCACCTGCTCTATTTTTGGTTGTTACTTGTACCAAAGTTGTACATTTCAGTCAGCACGAAATACATTATAATTGCCACAATATAATTCCTCGGAAAAAATACCTTCATGTAGCCAGTTCTCAAAACAATAATGTCATAATTTGTGCAACTCATTCATAGTGAAGTATTCTATTTCATTAGCTTGGTACGTAGCCCTCCAACATTTTGATAATACATTTGTAATGGGGTTTTTTTCTATTGTTACTAGTCAGAGGGTCCTGCTTTTCCATAACCTCGGGCATCTATTCGTGTAGCGAACAACATAACTATCATTTTCATTCTCTTCATTTTTGGCGTTTACTTCAGTTAGTGCTTTCTTGAACTGTTCTTGTTCTAATATAGGTATATATATTTAGTTTAAACACAGTTTACCTTGTTTCCTGATTTTCTTCCAGCTTTTACAACTTGCTTAACAAATGATGGATCAGAACATATCACTTTCAAAGGCCTGGCAGGGGAGCGCCTTTCTTTATTTTATCCAACCTCACAAACTTGTCAATCATATCGGCTCAATTGGCATTCTGCAGTAAATTCATTAACCTGAACCACTTTCCTATCATCTGAAATTATTTCTGCTAAATCATTACTTTCCGACTCCCTTGCACTAAAAACAATGAAATTCTCAAATCTTACTGACCTTTTCTGGATCTCAGTTAGTATCTGTTCGGTATAGGAGAAAGAGCAACTGTCATCATATTGGAGGCACACTCCGGGACGCATTTTTGTATCGAGCGCCCAGTATACCGCATTCGGGTAACGTCGTATTAACCGAGGCCTGTCTCATAACGAGCGTCTGATTTCCCGATCGATTGTCAAGCTACCGTACGCTTGATACTAGTCTTCTGCGAAATTATGGATCGGCGTCCAACAATTCAGTTTTTTTTTTAAATGTTTATCATTTATTATGCACTGGCCAGAAAATTATATGTACCACATTGTCGATTCCAGCGAAATACGAACTAATTTCAAGACTAAGCAGGAAGTCGAGGTAAGGGAATAAGTAAGAGCAAAATTATGTTATACCTACATAACCTTACCATGAATAGAATACCATGGCGAGATAGAATAGGCCACTTTCACGTTTTTTCGAAAACATTTTTGAATTATTGTGTTAGCCATTCTTCCAATGACATTATCATCTGTATACTTTTTTCTCCAAAAAAAAACGCCTATTTTTTGAAATATGTTAGAGCGATTTAAAAATCGAATTTTTAAAGCAGGTAAAAATTAACAAGATTTTTGCTATTTACTTAGGGATTTGTATACCTGCAATCGTTATTTGACAAATGCGGAGATTAGATTCAGGCAGATGTAAATAATTATTTATGATGCTGTCTCTAAGTAACAAAACTAACCAAAACTAACCCAAATTGGAGCTGAGCAAAAGGTTAAGTTAAGAACAGCCTTAGGGTTAGTTTGGGATAGTTTGTTAAAGACAGCATCAAATAACTAGGCAAATAGCAAAATCTTATTAATCTTTAAGTTTTTTGCTACTTTCCATTCCACTTAGTGAACTACTAGAATTAAAATTGCTTTACGATTTGACTACCAGAACCAAAATTAAACTAATACATATTATCAAGTAGCTTGATGGTGAGGAGCCAGGAAAACTCAAAAAGATATTCGAGACTGTAGGCGCGAGTCGCGAGTATCGAGCATTTTTTTTTTTTTTTTTTTTTTTACGGATATGCGCACTCGCAAGGAAATGTCCTATCACGCTCGAGAAGCGGCAAGTGCGCGGAAATGTCGGTGTATGTTGGTCTTGAAACGGTTCAGGTTGTAACCTGCAGGGAAAACCGTCGCAGGGAGTTTATTCCACAGCGATGCTGTTCTCCAGAGATATGAATTCTGATATAATGAGGTTCTTGGTGCCTCTAGTTTGACAGTAAATTCATGGTTACCGTCTGTTTGACGGGTTCGCCTGGTAGGTGCTACTCTCGGTGGAATCATACGTGCCAACTCTTCAGAGCATTTTCCGTGATAGTACCTGTAGAAGAGAGATAAATCGCCCACAGATCTGCGATGTTCGAGACCATCCAAGTTACGAGTAAGTGCGGGGTCATTGATCAGCTTGATAGCTCGTTTTTGCACGGTATTCAAAAGCATTAAGGTATGTTTGGGTGCTGCACTCCATATATGTGAGCAGTACTCCATAGTTGGTCGAATCTGGGCTTTGTAGAGTGTCAGCAATTGGCTTGGTGTGTACAGATGTCTTGTACGAAATAGCACCCCCAGCTTTTGGGAGGCCCTTTTAGCAATATCTGCCACGTGACTGTGCCAAGACATGTTGGTCTCTGCAGTAACCCCCAAGATGTTCAACTGACTCTGTAATGTGACAGCACTTCCAGATAGCATGATGTTTGGCTCACCGGTGCTGGTCTTTTTTGAAAACAGAGCTGCTTGGGTTTTCTGCGCGTTGAACTGTACAAGGTTTTTGTTACCCCAGTCCTCTATTATCTCCACGTCGTTATTTATCTGCGATATTTGAGTTAGTCTAAGATGATGGAATTCACGTGCGGAAAGACCTGTGGGTGGTATGAGTGAGGAGACTATATTGCCATCGTCTGCAAAGCAATAAAGTGGATTTACTGTTTTATCTATGAGGTCATTTATGTAAATCAGGAAAAGAGTTGGCGAAAGGATTGCTCCCTGTGGCACACCAGCATTTATTTGGTAAGAGTTGGAGTTCTGGCCATCCAGTGCAACATAAATGGATCTGTCCTTTAGGTAACTTTCAAACCAAGTGCAAAGTTTCGGCGATAATCCCATTGCTATGAGCTTGTTGAGCAGATTTTCATGCCAAACTTTGTCGAATGCTTTAGATATATCTAAGGCAATTGTTCTTGTTTCACCCCGCAACTCAATCGCTAAGCAAGCATACGGTAGTCCGAGTGATTTTCGTACTACCGTGCGCTTGATACGTGCCGAGGTCGGGTACCCCGAATGCGGGTTGCTGGACGCTCGATACAAAAATGCCTCCGGGACTCAGACTGTCAAAAAGGTTTATTACCTTTTCAGCAAAAAGAGCTCAACAGCTCCTGAACATGAGCAGACGAGACATCAGATTGGTGGTAGGACTGCTCACAGGACACTGCCTGGTAAAATACCATTTAAAGTGAATGGGCAGAGCAGAAGACGATTTCTGCAGATTCTGCTCAGACGAAGTAATAGAGACCGCAGAGCATCTGTTCTGCGAATGTACAGCCCAATTCTACAAGAGGCTCAAATTCCTCGAGAGGGCAACACTGTCACCAGAAGAAGTGGGCCAACTGACCCGAATCTTAAGATGTAGAGTTACGTACAAAATATCTGCAAAGGTAGCAGGGCTGAGCGGCTGAAAAGCCGAAACAACTTTCCACAATCTACAATCTACAATCTGTTCGGTATTAAACTGCCCTTCACCATGTCTACATTTTTGTTTCCCTGCAACTTCCAACTTCTTCCTATTACCATCAATCTCTTCCATAAGTTCCTTTATTTGTCTTAAAAGGACAGGTGCAGTGTTAAATGGTTTTCTGCAGGGTCTGCTGGTCTGCATAAACACATCAATGTGCGTTTCGAAACATTTACTAACGCAAAAAAGATGTGAAAACTTGAGAGCAAAAATTTCCAAACCCATCGTTAGAGGCTTCTTTAAAGTTGAAGCTCTTTATTTTCGATATTAACATGGCAGAGAGAGGATGGTATAACGGGATTCGGGATTATAATCCATGGTAAAATATCAATTTATTCAAAACTGTCAAGAAGTTAATTTCCTTGTTTCAAGTATTAACAGCAGAATGGCACAAATCGGTTTGCAATCTATCACACCGAAAACACACTAGCTGATAAGGACTATCAGTTTTTTTTGTGTTTCTTGTAACCCAAGGTAAAGACACATTTTCAAAACGTACTAACACGTTTTATAAAAATATCTATTACATAATTTCAAATGTGCATATTATTGTTATGGGTCGTCAGAGGCTGAAACCACGTCATACCGTGATAGATATTTTTATAACACGTGTTCATAATGTTTTCGTCCCTTTATTGCCTCATTTATATTTCCAATGCGTAAATAAATGCAAAAAATATCTAGGGCATTCGACGATAATGATCTTTCTTGTTCATTCACCTAGGTCAGTTACTTGTATTGTTAAGGAAATGAGATCGGATCAAAAATTCGATTTTCCCTACTATGAGAAATTATTCCTCGAAAGACTTGGAGTAAAAAGACTAAAATTGCATAAAATGCAATAAGCAACAGGAATAAGTAAAAATCTAAATGATCTTGGCAGTTTGATATAAAAGTTCGAAGACTTTTATATTTAATATCAATTTATCGCACGATTGTCACTCGCACCCAATCCACATACTACTCTAATTGAATTCACCCTTAAAATTCTAATTAATTTTATTACAAAAGGAGCCTCCTAGTTCTACTAAAGCCCGAAAACCTATGTGTGACCGTATCAAAGAGAAAATCGAATTACTTTATTATTCTATTCACGTTAGAGCAAAAATCCTTAACATATCTAATTACAGTGGAGTGTAGAATAATAATGAAATTATTAATATTTGAAAATATTCTATTTTTGTGTAATTTCCCCTGGTAGGTATTTCGCATTTTATAGGCAATAGAAGCCCATTAAAACATCTTTTTACAAAAAAAAAATCTAGGCACGTACCAGATTCTCTCCAATTCTAGCGGTAGATCCAACCTACATCTTTACAACTGTTCCTTTTTTCAAATCTTCTTTTAATATGAAAGAGATGATTATTTACAGCAGCGAGTACTACCTGGTTATAGTGTCAGTGTGTTACAGTAACCAGTGCAATGAAGAGTGCCGGGTACCATTTACATATAACGGTCGTACATCTTTCGGTTTTGGTTTTGTTTCAAGTTTATGATGCAGGTAAGTTAAAAAAATCTGTTCGAGAAAAATCGCACTTAAATCAAGAAAAATTATGGAAACAAAATTGGTTTCTTGATTTGAAAGAAAATCATAGGTACCTATTAGCTAAAGATAATAATTAAAGATAAATATATACGTTGTCGAAATTCAAACTCAAGCCTTTGAGATAAAACTCTTGAATAGGTATCTTGATAATTTTTCTTAACATAAAAATTTCAAATAACTCTAAAATTCCTTCCCCAAAATTATAATCTATTGCCCCAAAGTTCCTAAATTCAGATTTTAATTGAGCCTGGATGGAAGCCTGGATGTTTCTGTTGAATATCGGCAATCTGAAACTCATTTAATTTGCAACAGAAAATTAGTCAACACTCCGAACATCATTATTTCACTTTGATTCGCTTTTTACTATATTTCATTTGGTGGCTTTTCATTTGACTCTACTCTCCGTATCGTGGCCCCTATCAGAACTGATTTTGAACGCTGCTGGAATACCTACACTTTAGATTCATTTTTGATCAATCTCGTTCCGGCGCCTTTCACAAATCTTTTAATTACCATCTTTGACCTTATAACTTGTTTGTTTCCTCCATACATTTCCGGTTTCACTATGCAGTTGACTTCAATAGTTTCCACTTGTCTTGTATTTTTTGAGGTGAAATTTTAGGTAGCGCATATTCAATTGATCATTTTTAGAGCCCGTGGCTTACAAAACGTTTTATGCTATTTATGAGAGCGAAAATCTCCTGGTCTACCTATTTGTATATCTGTATCCGAACCTTTGTCCATTGTTTTGACCACATCACATCTGAATGTATTTATCACTTCTTCAAAAGCAGAATACACAGTCAAATATGAAATATTAAAAATTTGGAGGAAAAATGAAAAATCAATACAGCAGAAAAGGCCCTCAGTATACCCATTATTCAACAAGTATATATTGATTTTTCAAATGATAGATAAACCTTCGAAACCTGCAAGGAGACTACGGTATTGGTGAAAGAAATGATAGAGGTCAGAGGTTAATTCAATATTGTGAAGAGAAAGATCTCATAATAACGAACACATGGTACCTAAGTGAAAAGTACCACCTAGACGGCTTTATACATGGATATTGTTGTGTCCTTTTGGTAATAATTAAAGATAATATTTTATATTTAGTTTATATGAAACTTGCAAAAAATGACACTCTTTAGACAGACACAGAGATAAATACTATATAAACTGTCGAGAATGGAATCTCAGTGTAAATTTCGTTGTCAACAAAATTGAGCCAAGCCAGCGCCATCTACCATATCGGAAAATCACTATTTACTGGTTTTGCATTGATGCTACAGACACCTCCTTTACATAGGACTTTTTATGATAGATGGCGCCCTGTTCGCATTACTGTCGGTCTGTTCAAATTCGTTTATTCTAGACTTTGGGGCATTAATGTTTGCTTAAATTAATTGATAATTTGTTAATTAGATCAAAAGACAGTTTCTTTATCGATGGTTAAGGGTATCCTTAACATATTTATTCAAAGTTCTGATTGATGTTTAATTGAACCTGTCATTTATCTTATCAACAAAGATAAAAATAGATCTTCCAATCTATAAAGTTTGAAGTTCTTCTTGAAACACACAAAACAACTTTGAAATCATTTAAGAACACTTGACAATACAAACAAAGATGAAATGCAAGACCGGCGAACAAAAAACATTATAAATTATTAGTTATGATCAAATGAATATTTTGGCATATTGTCATATGTTGACATGACATGTCAGTTATCGACATCGGACGTGTTCTTTATGTGCTGGTATTTTACAATTTTGACAATTCTGTGGTTGTCAGCGACATTTAGAAAAACGCAAAAGAGTTATTATGTGGTTTATAACTGGCAATGAGAGATCGCAGAGCCTGGACAGACATAAAAACTGGTGTCACCTAAGGTATGCCATGCGTTTTTTTTCTCATCAAATTTTACCGATGGATCCACCATTCTACGGCCGTCATTGTCATCTTCCATTCACTAAACAAAGATAGCTTACTCATCGGTGAAGTCACCGATGAGAATAAAAACGAGGGGATGTTACCAGCTCCAACATCTCCTTCCTTGGGAATAGAAACTAGAAACTTAAATTTAAAATGAAATATTACAAACCTTTACATATTATAATCTCTAAACTTAGTTGGTAATTGAACAATACGACCACTGCGCATGATTATTTCATTAACAATAGTGTCATTCTTCGGGTCTTTCCTAAAATTTACTTGAACATTATTTTGGTTTTGGCTGCTGCTAGTTTCAAGCAAATTACTATCAGGAGTATTAATTACTAGAAGACGAAAACATTATTCTTTATTTGATTATGATCATCTGCACAATTATTTGATGAATTATCAATTTCAAATTTTGTATTAGCTGGTTTCAATTGACTAAAATTTCTTCTAATAACGTTACTATTACTGCTCATGACATTCAAAGATCTGGGAGCAGAATGGTTATCAACCACTTGTCCTTTTTCCCGAAATTTGTTTTTAATTAGTACCTACATTATCACCCGGTTCCAACTTTTGATGAAAATTTGTCGAGATTACTTTTATAATATGCTTGTTTAGCTACAAGTCTATTATGTGCATCTTTAGGAATTGCCGGTCTTAACAATTCTGTATAAATTGGAAGTTTGGTACTAGTTAGTCTATTTATCAATATTTAGGTTGGAAAAATACCAATACCAGAAACAGGGATGTTCCTGAACTCCAGCAGTGCTAGGTAAATATCAATATTATCATGAGAATATTGACATGTTTGAACTGTGATTGGTTGATTTGTCGAAACTTGTTTTAAGGTCTTTAAAAAAACGGCTCATCAGAATTGGCTCAAATTTGGCATAAACATTATTTGATCGATTATCTACAATTCCTTATTTTGGTTTTTCGATTTCAGCCTTGTTTTTTTTAAATTCAAAAATCATGTTCGCAACCACTAAAACAATTAAATGTGTTGGTGGTTGCATATTTGCATGTTTATCAAGCTTGGATCCGTGTAAAGCATATTTTATTGATAACCACGGAAAACTAACAAAAGCTGATTGTACAGATTGTAAGTAGATAATCAATTATTTGTAAAGAATATAAACAAATTGAGAGAACGCGTTACTTTTATAGTAACTAGTAACGCGTTACTTCCATATAAACGCGTTATTTTCATAGTAACGCGCTACTATCATAGTAACTCGTTACTTTAACAAAATAACGATCTGCAGTTACTTCAGGAAAGTAACGTCGTTACAGTAACTTATCAATCAATCTTAAAAGTAACGAAGTTACTAAGTAACGCGTTACTTTCAGTAACTCGTTAAAGTAAAGTTACTATTTTTTGTCATTACTCCCACTGGTATAGCCTCATTATTTACTTCAATTTCACATTTATCTTTAAATTTACCAATACCTTCAAATAATTCAGAGTTATTATTGACAAATTCATCCTTAGTATTAAACTTACTCAGATAATCTATATTTTCCTTGTGTAGAGCAACGACATTTAATTTTGCACAAGATATAAAATCAGCAATAAATTCAACATTTTTACACTGCACTTTTAGCGAATGCCTCTAAAATTATTTTTGTATCTCGTAGCTGAGACTTTGGAACGCCAACTTCACTCAACATTTTACGTTACAGTACATTTACATCTGCACCAGTGTCTAATTTAAATTTAATAGGCACATGATGATCACCAATATTTACATTATGAAACCATGAGTTAATTGATAATACTTTATCACTCTGCTTTTTTATTCAGGGCCGTAGCTAGAGTCAAATTTGTGATAGGGCATAACAAATTTTACATAGGGCATACACCCCCCCCCCTCAAATTTTTATAGGTTAACAAAAGAGAGGTGATGGCCCCGAAGGCAAATTTTTCAATAAATCAATGTTGTATGAGAGAGGTAGGTTGCCTAATAACTTTATGACGTCATCTGGGGTGCCTCAATATAATGAAAATCTCCAAGGCACCCTAGATGCGTCATCAATGTTGCCAGGCCTAAAACTTCTATAGCGTGAAATTTGAGACATTAAAAACATGAGATTTTTAAAATAGCTGAAAACATGAGGGGCCATTAAAAAAATAAATAAAAACAGTTGGTTAAAACTCGTGATCTTGTTTCATACCATCTTTGGTCAAAAAAAACAATGAAAATAAAACAAACTATCGACGAAAATACATCACATCGCAAAAAAAGGGAGCCTACAGAAGAAAGAAGAAACATTTGTATCATGAGGAATGGCAAGGCTGTGCATCATTAAGTTACACATTACCAGGCAATCTATTATTAACTTTAGGATCCCACAATAAATAACATCTCTGGCAACTGAACAAAATGGCGCTGATTCTCGCGCCGCCTTGGGCTATTGGCACTCTTTCGGAAGAAAAAACTTCCTCTGTGCAAATGTCAAACGTCAAACATTATTGCATACATTTAGACGTTTCCGGAAACGTTTATCCTCGCACTTACTCGATTTCAATTTATTTCAATTCATTTAATTTTCTACTCTTTCAAATTTCCTAGAGAAACCTTAATGCATGTTGTGTTTTAAAGGTAGGGCATCATCATTTGAAAGATAGGGCATTGCCCCCAATACCCCCCCCCCTGGCTACGGCCCTGTTTTTATTCCATTAATATTGATTGCGAACTCAGCCTCATCAGACTCCTCCTCCTGTTCTTGTAACACTTTCACATTTTTAACATGACATGAAACTGCAAAATGATTTAATTGCTCGCAATTACTACACTTTTTCCCAAATGCGGGACATTCACGAACTCCATGCAAAGTTTGGCATCTTCTACATTTGAAATTTTCCCCAGATTTCAAAAATCTTTTATCTGCACCACTAGAATTTGGGGCTAATTTATTATAATTGTTATGGTTTCCTGACCTTTTCTTATAACAAACTCCACTTCAGCAGAGATTCCTTGCAAATTTCTAGCCTGAGATTTAGAAATTTC